AGGCTACTGACCACGGTGTGAATCGGAGCCACGAGGCCACTGACCGCAGAGTGAATCGGAGCCACGAGGCCGCTGGCCACCGTGTGAATCACAGCCAGGCCACGATCCCAGCAGATGGGGCGACAGGTAGACACTTCGCTGTCCGCAGAAGGGTCGAACAGCATCTGCCAACGGCCACTAGGCTGTGACCCCCACCTGCACCTCTCCCAGATCGGATGACTCTGAGCTCTACCGGATTCCAACCGCGTTTCATTTGAGACTCGTGCGGTCAGGCAAAAAGGTCCCCAGAAATAACGCCGCACGCAACTCGCCACCCTGACGCGCAGAGAACGTTCCAGAAGGACGATCTCGGGCACACGTCACCCTCTGGAGCCCCGGTGCCTTTATCTACCAGGAATGCCACCTTGGGGACACCTCACCGTGGCATGTCGTGAGAATTCGGGGGAGCAGCGGTTCTAGAATCCGGGCGAGCCAAACATGGGGCCGGGCAGGGCAGGGCAGCCAGAGGGCGGCGGCGGCAGGAGAACAGATGCAGGGAGGGGACGGCAGAGGCCACCGGCCAGCCCAGGCGGCGGCGGCGGCGGCGACAGAGGCAAAGGGACCGTCCCCTCCTCTGCTGCCGGAGAGGGGGTGGCCGACAGGAAGGCCGGGGTGCCACTGACCTTGAGGGCGGGAATCTCCACGCTGTCGCCGAGGCTGATGGAGCCCGACAGGATGGTCCCCGTCATCACGGTGCCTTGGCCTCTGATGGAGAAACAGTGGTCCACGGACATGAGGAACGGGCCCGAGGGGTCCCTCGCCGGGACGGAGATCTGGGACGTCAGGAGCTGGAAAAGAGAAGCCGGAGCCACACGCTGTCTGGGAGGGGGCCCACTGAGGCAGGGCAGAGGGGACAGCCGACCAGCGGTCCCCCAAGGCCACCACGGCGGGACCCAGTTGAAAGACCTCGCCCCGGAGATCAGAAACTCCGATGGCCCGATTGCGCTAGAAGCTTCTGCCACGCTCGGGGCTCTTTCTGTGGCTTCCAAGGAAGAGGACACTTGGAGGAGCCTCTTCTGTCCTCTCCCGAGAGGCCTGGCCTCCTCCCCTGGCGACACCCACCTCTCGCAGGACTTGTCCCAGAGGGCTGTCCCCAGGGGCAGGCCAGGGGCTGGGGGGGTCTCGGGACAGCAGGTGCGAAGACTGTCACGGAGCCTTTCTTCCCGGCCAGGACAACCCGGTGGCCACGTCCCTGAGCCCCGGCAGAGACGGAGGCCAGGCTCGTGTCCCCAGTGGGTGACTCCTCGACCAGGCGGCCCCCCCTTCCCGCCGTCCCTGAGCTCAGAGACGTTGTCCCAGCTGATCGCCAACACATGCCAATAAAGTCTATGACATTCCTTCCATTCCGCTGCTTTGTGACTTTGCAAGGGAGCAGGCTGCCCAAGAAATATATGCCAGGGAACGTTCCAGAAGTCTTAGCCTGGCACTAACGATGCTTTTAGAGCAAGACTAAAGATTCAAAGCAGGCTGAGTCTGAGACGGTTCTAGACGCTCCGTAAAGGAATATAGAGACGCCCTGCAGAGCAGGGTCTTTGGAGATTTTGCTTGAGCAGAGACAACCGCCCCGGGCTCCTGAAACAGTGCTCTCGGCGAGCCTCCCAGGGGTCTGGTACGTTCCGTCGACGCCACCGTCGTAGCAAGCGCCGACGTCCTGCCATCATTCTGAGCACGTCAGACGCCAACGAACTCACGTAACCCTCACAGCTCCGTGAGCTGAGTTCTAGAACCTTCCACGCGAGGGGAGCGAAGCAGAAGACAGCAGATGGTCGGCCCGAGGCCACAGAGGGCGCTGGAGGGACCAGGCGGAGACGCACGCGGTCCAAGCCCAGAGCCCACGTCCTGGGCCTCCCTGTCCCTCTGAGCTGTCCCCATTCTCGTTGCTGTGTCCCTCGGTGCCACCGCCACCCCCCTAGACACCCCTTCCCAGGGGGTGACGGGCTCCCTCCTCTGCCCACTGCCCCCCACCCTGCAGGAGGAACAGCCTGGGCTCAGGCCCGCGGCTTCAGAAGACGAAGCCGTCGCCTCTTTGCTGGTGGCCCCGGGGACAGAAGTGGCATGGGTCATGTTGCTGGGTCCGCGGGTCACCCCTGGCTCGCCGGGGCACACTGAGGGGACGGGTGCAGCCTGAAGAACTGGGACAGATAACGTGGCCCTGGGGTCCCCGAGTGGCCTGAGCTGTTCCCTCTAAGTGGGGACCCAAGACAGCAAGAGCCTTGGGCTGGACAGAAGTCACGTGTCCCCGGGCCTAAGTGGCCTTAGGGGTCCCAGACTGGGTTTCTGATTCCAAGGGAGGTGGGGGCGCCGTGCTGAGCTGTGACCAGGGGACGTCAAGGGGACCGACCCAGAGTCCCCTTGCTGGGGCTGCCTCTGCCCCTCCCTTGGTGGCAGATGAGGACACACGGGGCTGCCTGGCTGGGCGGGGCCGGGGCCCGGGGCAACGGTACCTCGATGAGCTCCGAAATGCCCTGCGGAGCTTCGGATTCGGGGGCGTCGGGCCCCCCGGGCTTGGCTGCCACGGGCACGATCGGTGCGCCTCGGAACCTGCAACGGAAAATCGAGGCCCGTCACGGTGGCAGAGATCGCGGGCGTGGGCGCCAGGCGTGTCCGGCGAAGTCCCCAGCAGGACAGGGGGGTCCCCTCCTTGCACCCCTGCAGCCGTGCCTGGGAACACAGCGCCACTGCATGCCCGTGTGGCAGCTGATGACACCGAGGCCCGAAAGGGGACTGTGTTTGCATCGGACATCAAATTGAGCTCGCCTAGGTGACAGAGTCTCGCTCTGTTGCCCAGGCTAGAGTGCCGTGGCGTCAGCCTTGCTCACAGCAACCTCCGACTCCTGGGCTCAAGCGATCCT